CACAGACTTGAGCCGTAGAGACGAAGTTGAGGATGTACGGTTGAAGTTTGGTATAAGGGAAAAAGTAAATCCTGCATTTAGGCCCTCGTACAGAAAATCTTGCAGCATCCACCTTGCACCCAAACCCAACGGCCTAAATACCCTTGCGTCCAAGATGGTTTTGGTACCGAACTCGCATATGAAGGCACTAGGATCCGCGAGTAGTGACAGTGCACGAGGGTAGCATGTAAGCCTACGAACTTTACGATACCAATCGGCATAATTTGACCTTGAAGCGTCAAAACAACAAAACACACAGTCCCGACTACGATGACCAAAGAAAGCAGGACACAAAGTGAGAAATTGGAAACATCACCCCCCGCGAAATCAAGGATGTCGCTAACAAATCAGACGTCTCGGTGCTGGGGCAGCAAAAAGCGCTGCTGCAGTTGCTCCGGCCGCCAGGGCAACACACCTTCCAGTCGCAGCGCATAACCCATGTTGCCGTTTCACAGCAACGGCCACGGCAAGCAGCAACAAAAACATTAAGACGCTTATCATTGGAAGTAGAAAACCGACTTGTTACCGCGGCAGCAGCGCTGGTAGCAGCAGTCGCAGCAGCGGTGGTCGGGGTAGTAGTTGTAGTAGTAGTAGTAGTAGTAGCAGTAGTAGTAGTAGTAGTAGTAGTAGCAAAAGCAGTAGCAGTAGCAGTAGCAGCAGTAGTAGTAGTAGTAGTAGTAGTAGTAGTCTTAGTAGTAGTAGTAATAGTAGTAGTAGTAGTAGTAGTAGTAGTAGTAGTAGTAGTAGTAGTAGTGGTAGTAGTAACAGCAGTAGTGGTAGCAGTAGCAGTTGTTGGTGTTGCTGCTGTTGTTGTTGCTGTTGCTGTTGCTGTTGCTGTCGCTATGGCTGTTGCTGGTGCTGCTGGTCGTGTTGTCGGCGGTGGTGTTGATGTTGATGTTGCTGTCGTGGTTGTGGTAGTTGTGGTGGTGTGGCGGCAGCATGAACAGTCGACGTTACGCAGCGTCATGCGATGTCGAAAACGCTATAAAAAAAAGCTCGCCGAAGTCTCACGAATCACAGCTATACGCAATCCAAACAGTATATAACAAGTCGGTGCGGCATATCCAAAGCTGCGCATTCTGATGTTGATGTCGACAGCACCGCAGATGCAGGAAGGCAACCCAATAATTACCACGCATTCAGAGGCCAACTGCCCTGTTCTGCTTTAGAGCTGCCCGAGTCAGACTACGTGAGATTTACATGCTACGCGCCCCACCGGCTGGTTGCCTGTTAGTTTGCGTGACGACATATGAAGCACATGGCTACGTTGCGAGTAATGCACTCCAGGCTGAAAGCCGGCAGCTTAGATTTCGACACAGTTCTTACTTCAGGAAAGTCGAGCCGGATGTGCATTCCGGTCTAGGGTGTAAGCTTTGCCGCATGGCTTTCTTCAACTTTCAACTCGTCAAAGAGTGCTAGCCCAGATCTGCAGCAACCAAACAGTCTCAACCGAATGGCTGGCAAGGCTCGCTAGCATGTTGTTACAAGAATCGATGCAGCAACTTCAAGGGGAGATGCGTGTTTGCTGTGTGTATATGCTCGATGTATAAAGATACAGCCCTGAACCCTAAACTCTAAACTTTAAGCCCTACATGTACATACAGTACGACATGAAAGAACCGAGCCACCAAAGCAGGTGCAGCACCGTCTTGCAGTACAAAGCAGATGATAACACCGTTTAGGGTTGAGGGTTTGGGGTACCCGGACCAAGTCTATATTGACCGTCAGTTTTCTTTCCGTGTTTGGGGTGCTGTGTTTGTTTGACAAAAAATCCAGATGAGGCTAGAAACACGAGTTAATCGTGGACCCTAGGACATTAGGAACTCCATGGTACACGCCAAATTAGCCGTTCTATAAGCCCTATAGGAATGAAGCTTTACTGTAGTTTCATCTTACCCGAGATTCCACTTGCTAAATAGTGGAGCATGCGATTGTTTGAGGCTCAAGTATATGGATGTTTATTGGTTCGCTACTGTTCCATGAAGGCTTCGTACTGATTCTACAGGGCATCTAAGCCTAAGGTACGTGGACCGTCGGTGACAGAACCTCGAAGGAGACAGAATCGCGAGTTCAGATGCTTCTACGCACAGAACCCAATATCCCGAAATCGAGAAATAGACCTTCAACCACAATATTATTTCCCTAAACCCTAAACCGTGGGTCTTGGTTTCTCTGGGTAGATGTATGGATCCTCGTAGGGTTTGGCGAATCAGCGCCTTTGGTTTCCTTAGCCACAACCACGCAAAATCCAAACACTCCAACCCAAACCCTAAAAACTCTATCCCTTGGGTACGGCCCCACTCAGTAATAGTTGAATAAAAATATTCACAATCTAGATATACTAAGACCTTAATTGTAGCCTGCTTATAGACTCTTACTGTATGGGGGCAGTACCTAATCTATCCCTGACAGGAGCCCTAAGATTGGGCTCTCTGAGCCAGAAGCCTTTGAACTAAAAGCCCCAATACCCACTACGGTTGATGATATAAATCCTGCATGACCCGTAATATAACTCTCATAGTTTAGGGTCCTTAAGGTAATGCAGGGTTTATAACATCAACAGTAGTGAGGCTTCTTGGCGCCGTTACTCTTGATTTCGGGCCTTGTCTCAAGCTCCCTGGAAACTCTAAAGCCCGTACAGAAAAGCTTTTCAGAACCATGATAGACCCCTTAAGGTAACCCTGAAAGGAACATTGAGAGGAGCCCAAAAACCCTAAACCTGAAACCCTTTGATGCCATCTTTGAACACGGACGCTGCAAAGGATGCATTAGGCACCTGCTTCAAAACTCATGTTTCGCAGTCTCGAATACACGGTTTTTAGAAGGGTTACTACCAGGGTTACCGCAAGGCTTCTGGGGGAACTCAGGGGTCCACATACCCAGGTATAGTGGGTTCAGGTTTAGGGTTTAGGGCTGAGGGAAGCACCATTCAAAGTGGAACAACAATGGGGGCTTAAGACCCTGCTGCCTCCATACTTGGACCCTCTTGGGTAGACAACTCTAGCTGCTTGAAAGCCCCACACCCACAACTCCAAACAAAATCCTCCAAAGCTCCGAAGCCCAGGAAGAAAGTCAAAAAGCTAAACCCAAGGGTCCATGTACAGAAACAGTATATACTTTGGTCCTAGAGTACTTATATAGCGACCGGGATAATCCACATGTACCCCCCAAAAGATAATCCTAATCGTGATGTCGGAGACCTAATTCCATAAGAACAATATATACGGACAATCTTGGCCAATCACCTAAGGGCCTTCAACCATTAGAATAGGGTTCCCCTGAATGTCTTTCAGGCTTACTACGAGGGTCACGATACGGGCGTGGGGTATATCGGGGCAGTGATAGTCAGCAAAGGGTTTGGGGGTATGCTACACCATACTTGAATCCCCGATAATAAGCCAAGCACCCAAACCCCAAGACCCAACACACACACCGAAGACCTAACACCAACATTATTCCTGCAAAGCATTCTGCACCTCTTCGGCTGGGCCATCGTTGCTGCAACTATATAAGGAAAGACCGGACAAACACCCTCTTGAGCCCGCCTGAGGGTATTTTTGGCTTCTGGATGTAAATTTAGGGTTTACGGCTGAGGGTTTGTGTGGCTTCATGGGCAGTTGCTCGGGTTTCATCGGGGTTTATGCCTCAGGCCTCAGCGTTTTCAATTCATTACCTGAGCTTCGGATTAGGATTTGGGATTCAGGGCTTGGGGTTACGGCTTGAAGCTTTAGCCCAGAGGGTCCAAGTACTCCCTATTACCGGACTGTAGGGCCTTTTTAGGTATCAAAAACCATAAATAAGGACTACTTGGACCCTTAGGGTTATGACTTCAGATTTACGGATAAGCGTTTGGCTTCGGTGAACCTGGAAGGCCTGTGTCCAACTGAAGTGTGGGGCTCTCAAGGTCTGCATGTTGGTTGAGGACCTTATAGAACCCCTTATAGTAACCGCTATAGGAACCCTTTACAGTAGAAGCCAGAAAGTTGGACTATCATTATCCTACCACCTTTTAAGGTAATTTAGATGGCATCCTACCATTTTTTCCATATTCCAACTTTCTGGAGTTCCCTTTAAAGGAGCCCTATTCTGATTATGCAGGCCCCTAAGCCTGAACCTAAACCCCTCACGGTTTAGGGTTTAGGGTTTAGGGGTTTAGGGTTAAGGGGTTTAGGGTTTAGGGGTGTAGTTCTCATTGCTGAGAAATACCTTCACAATCGCAGCCCCTTTAGCTTCCGAAATTAGGGGTACACCTTATTTGGGGGTCCTTATAATAAGGATCCTACTAGTTAGGGTACTATATTATAAGGGTCCCCTAGTTCTTCTATAACTCGGCATTATATACTATCGCCTTCGGTGGTGATACCTTTATCATAAACATCTTTTGACCTACCGTAGAAGCCAGAAAGTTGGGATATCATTATCGTAACCCCCCCGGAATCATAAACCGTCCCTGACAGCCCAGACCTTCCAAAATCCCTTAATTAAGGTATATCCCTTAAATTATAGCAGGATCCTTAATATGATTTAAGGTATATTCCTTAATTAGGGGATTTTGGAAGGTCTGGGAGCATCAACCGTACTGCAGGCAATTGGCACCTTGAAGATGTAATGACCCTCAAGCGGTGCAGTACACGCATACTACCACAGCTGATGTGGCGCTTGGACTTTAAAACCGGCTTAGGGAACACATCGTCCGGAAGGCGTTCCTTATCTTCGTGTCTTTGAGAACTCGTCAGACTCGAATTTCTCCCTCTGGCCATCTGATCTCAGCTCTAGCTGGAAATGGGCGGAGAACAAACTGACATCTATGCCCAACCACAAGCCCCCAAATAGCAAAAGCAGAAGCTTTAAAGCCCCAACCCGGCAAAACCACAGCGTTGCGTCCTAGATCCTCAACCCACTTGACATGAAGCACAAGTTCTCCAAAAAACGCCCACAGAAGGGGCAAAAGTCGACTCGGCTCAGCCGGTGAACTGCTCCACAGGTCCCTTCCTCAGAAGACGGCATGCCAAGTGCTGCTCTTTGGGGTGATATGTAAGGTACCCCGACAAATCATGAACTGCAAAGGCCTTGTGCCTTGCTGTTGTGCTAGGGTCTTGTGCTTTGTGGCTTATGGTTGTTGTGCAGGTCTCGCGCCTTGCGGTTGGCCTGCCTGCTCCCTTGCGGAGACAGCCCAATACCCGGCAAGCCAATGTTAATTACCCAACCAGGGAAACCTCTAGCTATAGTCTACGTTGCAATTCCTTTCTTAACCAAAAAGGAACCACAGTGGAAACTGTGATATTGTAAGGGTGAGGGCATCTCGCGCCTGAAGATACGTTAAGGCTTAGTTAAGGTATATGTCTAACCAACCGGGTGTTGGGCTCTGGGTACGTCGGTAATTGGGATCAGTTGGGATTGGGGTTTCTACAGAGGGGTTCACCCTCAACCCCAAACCCTAAACCCGCTTGAGGGCTTGTTCTTTTCGGGTTGACAAGGCATAGGTCGGGGATTTCTGAGTCCTTGTTGTTGGAAGTCTTCGGGACTGAGGTACTTTTGCAGGTGCCTCAATGATCGGTTTGGTTCTGGGTACATTTAAGGCTATGTGAAGGAACCGTAAGGAATTGTATTGGTAATTGTCTCCGAAACCCGAAACCGTCTAACCCTCTCAAAGGTTTAGGGTTTTGGGTCTATATTGTTTCGAAGGCCGAGCAACAGAGATGCCTTACTGATTAGAACGTCTTTTTTTTTTTGGGTGGGGTGGGGTGTTTTGTAAAACCAGGACGAAGAGAAGTGATTAATTACAGTAATCCCCATAAAGTTGGAAACCGGATTAAGGCCAAATAGTGCTGGGATTCCCTATACATTACTCTTAAGGACTGAGGCTATGGGGTTTCCAACTTTTGGGCTTCTACTGTAATCAGGCTGCTATCGTCGCAGAAGTTTGCTCGTGAGGGGCGAAGAGTGTTTCTGGAAAGACTCTCAGAACAGTCGCTCAAAAGTCTTGGGGTTTAGGGGCTTAGGGGTTTAGGGGTTTAGGGTTTAGGGGTTTCGGGTTTAGGGGTTTAGGGGCTTGGGGTTTTGGGGTTTAGGGGTTTAGGGGTTAGGTTAGGGGTTTAGGGTTTAGGGGTTTAGGGGTTTAGGGGCTTAGAGCTACTAAACTACAAGGCTCTGGGCCCTGCAACGCATAACCTTCAACACTCAGACCTTATCCTAAACCGCGAACTCGACACGCAAGACCCCACTTACCATGAGTGAACGGTAGCTGGGTTTCATGCTGCGGGACTAGGGGAGCTGAGGAAAGATTGTGTTAACTCTTGATACTAGCAAAAGATATTCTAGTTTATGGAATTATTATAGTATCGTTTATGGTTATGCTAAATGAACTCGCAGTACTCTCACCCTGGTTGTTGATCCTCCGTGCGTTCCGGTACTTGGAGGTTCATGGGCAGTTATGTATAGGGTTAGAAGACCCCCCTAATATGGGCGATACTTATAGTTATCTTATTCATGACCCAACTTAAAACTGCCCGTGAACCTCCAAGCATACAGTAATAGCCCATATAGCAAGGCCACCTGTTCTGGTCCTTATATACCTATATTGTAAGTACTATTCAACTGTTGATGAGTGGGGGCCAATATCTCCAAGTGGGAAGTTCCGAAAAAGGGGGACCCTAATCTAGTACCCAAAATAGTAGGACCCTTATTATAAGGACCCCGGTACCCTGATTTTCGGAAACTCCCAAGTATAAGAGCTGCAAGCCGTCGTGCCTCGTTTGCTTCCTGGAAGATAGAACCCCCAAGGTTCGGGCCTTGAGGTTCCCAAAGAACTGCATTAATATAAGTATCATGCAATACACGTAGTACTATAGAAATACCAGTTAACAATATACCATAATATGTTATAGTACACCCAGTTCAGGACGCTAGCGGAAGTCGGGGGCGTAGCAGAGCATAATATTGAGCTCTCTGTAACCAAGACTCCCTGTCTGAAGTTCTGCGACGATCTGACCAATGATGGCAAACATCGCCATGCGCCCGTTGTTGAGCTCCTGTCTTCCGCGTTTAAGCGGGGTTTCGGGGTTTACCCACAGTCTCCATTGTAGTTCCTTTTTGGGGTTACCTTTTGGGATCCTAATGCTGAAAACAAGTGTTGCCTACCACATCACGCTACTGCCGGTTGCTGGAGTTTGTGAGATGGTCAAGCAGTTTGCATGGAAGAATGACCCCTGCTAATGTATCTCTAATGCAAATGGCATGACTTAGGTACGGCCCCCATACAGTAAGAGTCTATAATAGGGCTACTATTAAAGTCCTAATACATCTCTATTATGAATAATTTTCAACTATAACTGAGTGGGGGCCTTACCCAAGGCATGACCGACATCGAGCATCGGAGATTTGGGCTCAGGCTTTGGGATTGCATCCGTGTAAACTACTATACGTGCCTAAATAATCACCAATACTATTTTGGGGGTGCCTTTTTATGATTATAGTATAATGGGCCTCCAAACCCAATTCTAAGTGTTAAGGCCCCAGGTGGAATGGTGAACAGGCTGGAATAACAATACGACTTGGGGTCTAACTGCCATTAGTTACTGGCTTTCAGGCCTCCACATATCTCCAACACGGGCATGTTAGTTAGTCCCAACAAAAACTATGTATGCCTCAGGGACGTATATATCGGGGAAATGGACTCAGGGTTTAGCGTTATGTGTGTGACGTCTATGGTCCTTCCAAGTAGGTCGCCATCAGGTACTTCTTTTGTAAGCCGCCAATAACAATCAACAGAACGAAGCATCGTTGTGCTATGATCATTGGGCGTGCTGGAACCTGTACACACACACAACGAGCCACAAATCGTCTGGAAGCCAAGCACCTTCGAGCGTAAGGTAAGGGAAGCAAGGATCTAAACACGTGATGAATCTTGCCCCGGCACCGGCCTACGATAGCATGCCCTTGAACACACCAAGACCTCAGAAATTAGGACCCTGAGGGTTGTGTTTGAGGGCATTCTTACTGTAGCAGTGAGAGTCTGTCTGTGTGTTACAAGTAGCAACCGGAAGCCAACACGCGACAGAGGGCATGCGCAGCTCATTCACCCCCCACACCATATACCCAGAAAGCCAGGGAAACATCAACTTGCTGCAGCAATGGATTCTGGGATCTCAAGCGCCTTCAACCGAGGGACCCCAGGCCAAGAAACACATCATCACCCCAAACCGAGAAACCCTAAACCCTAAACCCACAAAAAAACAAAAACCCTGAGCCCATAGAACCTAAACCCTAAACATAGACCCTAAGCCCTGAACCCCTAATTTTAAAACCCTAAGCCCATAAACCCCAAACCCCTAAGCCCATAAGCCATAAACCCTAAGCGCCTAAACCCTAAACCCCTAAACCCTAAACCGTAGCCCTCAGACCGACACTGAATCCTCCTGAAGAACTTCCCAAAGCCTTGGAGACACCTTCAAGAACTCTGACGCCAATCTATATGTACATAAGCATACGTATATATGTACCTATGTATGTGTGTACACAAAACATGCATGCAAACAGAGTACATACATGTTTCTGTACGCATACAAATGTGTATCTATATACCTGTATACATGTATGTATGTGTATACAGTCTGTCTATATATAAATGTACACATATCTATACATACAAAATTCTGTATACAGGTTATATATATATATATAGTACATTTTGTATACACACACTACACCATGTCGTCGTGGTCCTTGGTGCGCATCTCAGGCGTGAACTGCTTCCAGGCGAACCTAACCGACTTCTTTGGCTTGGTCTTGCCATGGGAGGTTTCAGTAGTACTGGTAAGGTTTAGCGTTCAGGGTTTCGGGTTATATAGGGCTCTGGGGTATAAGCGGGAGCACACGGGATTAAGGGGTTGCATCTCTGTTTCAAGTGCTGAAGCCTTTGGAAGCTATTGAGCAAGGGATCGGATGGCAAACGGCGTCGTGGAACTCTGAGACAGCACGGCGGATGTCTTGTTCACTAGATACATACCGCGTCGCCAGGCACACAAAAGCCACCCGACGCGGGACTTGGGCAGTGGTGATTAAGAGTATGATGTCGACCCTTTTGCTGTAGGCCCCCTGTCCAGCAATGAACTCAGCACCAGCACTCACCATTGGCAAAACAACGCCAGGTGGATGAGGAGCGTTGCCTCCCGTGGCCTGGACATTTGCCTGTGCATTCAGACCTGTCAGTATATAGGCCTTCCCCCTGGTGCGTTAGAATCGAAGTTCACGACCGGCCTCACTTGAGCACCCGGGCCCGACAAGAAGCGAATGGCCACGAGCTATTCCACCACATCGCTGGCTGGAAGCTCAAGCACCACGACTGAACCTTCGAGTATCCTAGCAGCGTTGGCAGATCAAGAAAACCTTGCCGCCGCTCCTGGCCCGGCACTGTGGCTGGGTCGTTCTGCCACGTGCGGTCGACTTCACTGGAATTCATGAGAATCGCGTTACTCCATACCATGGACCATAAGCCCGTGAAGTTCACTGTATGGGAGATGTCCAACCCGCTTGATTGACTGATCGATGCCCATGCGTTGGTCTGTTCCTGGCGACTAAGAGCCACGGCTGGCGCTACCCGCTCTCCGCCGTAGATCCCGAAGTACCGCTGCAGGTTTTCAGCCGACAGCTGCTGCTGCATGTCCAAAGCCCGAAACCCCAAAACCACTAATATCGGGGCCATAATAATTAGAATAGGATTGGGGGGGTATATTGTACTGTACTCATAGTAAGGAACCCTCCGAATCCTGGTCCAGGGCCTGTGACTGCAAAGAGTAGTGGACCAACCCACGAGTCCTAAACCCCGTGCCCCTGAGCCACAAACTCCAAAGTCCTGCAATCCCTCGCCGAAAACAGCCAACCTTGGGGTTTAGGGCTCATGCAGGGCTTGGCGACCCTATGCTGGGTTCTTGTTGAGGGACTTACTTCAAGTTAAACAAAGAAACCATGGTCATGTTTCTATGTCCCTGTCATTGTAACTTAAACGAAGTTCGTTTAACAAGAACCCAGTATGAACCCTACAAGCTCTAATTACGCCTGAAGGCCTGCCGTCTAAACACTCAATCCTTCCAAGGCCAAAGCCCTTACACCCGTTGAGCCCTAAACCACCATAAACCCAATAACCTGGAAGCCCTTAACCTTAGCCTTACGCCCAAACCCAACAACCCACAAGCCCCAAACCTCAACACCCTACAGCTCAAGAACCCAAATTCCTGAACACCTAGGCCCAAAACCCTATGACCTGAAGCTCCCAACCCAAAACCCCAAAACCCTCCAAAGTCTTCAATCCCAAAACCCTCTGACCCTCACGCCCCGGACCATAAATACAAAGGCCTCCACCCTTCTCTCTGAACCCGAACCCCACCAGAGTCACTAGAACCTTTAAACGGAACCAAGCAACCCAAATAGTACACCCCGAAAGAAAGCCTTTAGGGATCCCCCACCAGAGCCCTTAAATCGTCCCTTGACATACCCCCTTTCAAAAGAACCCTTAAAGGATCCCTTTAAAGGATCCCCTGAAAGAGCCCTTTAAAGGATCCCCTTAAAGGATCCCCTAAAAGAGCCCTTAAAGGCCAGGGAGCGGGTCGCCGAAGGAGCCGGGCTCGCCCTTCTGGGGCTTCCAGGTCACGGCCTGGTTCTTTAAGGCTTAACCCAGACCTGGTCTAGGATACCCAGTAACCTAAGAATAAAAAGGTCTCTCTTTTTGGTATTGGGTAACTTTATAAGGAACCTAGGACTACAAAAAGGGAATACGGGTACTACTGGGCATCCTAGTGGTCCCCAGAGTTTAGGGATTAGGGTTTAGGGATTAGTACAAGGGATCTATAAGGATCTATAGTATAGGGGCCTAAGGCTTAACCCAAACACTCCAATATCCCTTAATTCAGGAAGATACCCTAAACAGTACTAGGGATCCTTCTGTAATTTACGGTATATTCCTTAATTAAGGGATATTGGAGTAGAGTGTAGGGTGGCTCGAATTTTGGTCATCGTTCATTTTGCTGAGTGCTACTGTTTTCTATGATGTTGGTTGCTGGTAGCTTGATCCAGGGTTGATAGATGATGGAATCGTTTTGCTGCTTCGGCTGCTGCTTTTGACATGCTAGTGGTTGTGGATGTTTACATTCGGTATCCAGGGCTAGAGCAAAGTACTGCTTGGCACATGCTCAACAAACATATGCTGTGGTGTTTCCTGCTTTGCTGTAAACATACTACATGGAGCATACAGCAACATACCAACCCCTTGAGAAGAACTGGGAAGTTCATTGAATAATCCTACGTACACTCTCAAGACCACCAGAAAGCAGAACAACCCACTGTCCCCCAAAAGCTCTCCACCCCTAAGGGTCCATGTACTCATATAGTATATACATTGGCCTTAATGTAGTCCCTACATAGACCATGTATCTCTATATGGATACATGGACCCTTAGGGCACCTAAACCGTAAACCGCCAGGGCCAAGGACAAACCAAAAACGGACGCAGGACCGACCTCGTGGCCCGCGATGAGGAAGAACAGCAGGGCGAAGCCCTCAGCGCCCTTCCATGAAAGGGAAAGTTAAGGGTTTAGGAGTCTGTTTAAAGGGCTCCTTACAGGGATCAATAAGGGATCTATGAAGGGGTTTCATGATATAGGGGCCTTAGTAATTGGAACAGGGTTTTGGTACGCATTATACTACAACTAGAACAAGGACCCCAAATATAATCCAGGTAACTAAGTGTTCCTACATTAGTGGGCTTTGGGTTCAAGCCCGACAGGTTCACGTACCCAAATAGTATCTAATTTAGCTTTGATGTCGTCCCCACAGAGGTTGCTTTGGGGCCAGGGTCCAGAGTATAAACTACGTATTTGGGTACATGGAAATCAAAGGAAAGATTTCTGGCTTGCAGTTTCTCTAAGAATGTCAGGTGCGGTCCAAAATCGTCATTTACGGGGTGTTGGAGCTTCTCAGCATTATTTGGACTTTGCTGGCGGCAATGCCTGGATCCAGTACCACCACAGACAGCAGAGACATGCTAGTTTTCTAGTATTGTTATGTCGAGCCCAAGTACCCAAGTACTTGCCAAAGGCCCATTCAGAGCATAGCCTTTCGGACCTAAAGCCCTACCCCCTGAACCCGGACCGTCGGCCCTACAACAGTGTAACCCCTCATTCAATCGCAAGAACAAGCCAAAACCGTAAACATTCTAAATCATAGACCTAAACCCGAAACCACCCAAAACACAAAGGCCTGGGCGGTATATAAACACTAAACCCCAAACCACCCAAAACAAAAAGGCCAAAACCCCTAAACCCTATACACCCTTTCAACCCTAAACCCCTAAACCCTATATTTAAACCCTAAACCCTAAACCCAAAACCACAAGCCGCCTTGGCGGTGTTCAGGGCCGCCAGGCCAGTGGGCACATCCTCGAAGCCGGGAAGCCTTCGGAGCGTCTGGGGGGGGTTTAAAGGTCATAGGGTTTAAGGGTTTTAAGGGTTTAGAACGTTAAAGGGTGTAGGAGTTTAAGGAATTACAGTGGTTTAGGGTTTGGGGTTTGGGGGTTTCAGGGTTTAGGGCTTTAGGATTTTTAGGGTTCAAGGGTTTAAGGGTTTAGGGTGTAGGGGTTTAGAGGTTATAGGGTTTAAGGGTTTGGGTGTTTAAGGGTTGAAGGGTCTGAGCGTCTCAGGGGTTTACGGATTACAAGGGTTTAGAGTTTTAAGGGTCTAAGGGTTTAGGGGTTTAGGGTTTTAAGGGTTTAGGGGTTTGAGGGTTTAAGGGTTTAGGGGTTTAAACTAGATTGGCCGATTGGCCCTTTAAAGCCTCTGAAAAATGTTCGTAAATAGGGTCCTATTAAGCTCAATAAGGGAAACTCTAAAATGTCCCAAAGGCCTACCTAGTAAAGGTCATAGGGTTTAAGGGTTGAAGGGACTAAGGGTTTAGGGGTTTCAGGGCTGAAGGGTTTAGGGTTTAAGGTTTTTAGGGTTTGAGGGTTTAACGGTTGTAGGGTTTAGGGTTGAAGGGTTGTAAGGGTGGTTTTAGGGTTCCACATGGTTTTCAACAGGGTTCTATAAAGAGAGTTTAAGGTTTGGGTTCGAAATTTTGCTTTGGGGTTTGACCAGGGGTTGAGATTTACCCTAAGGGTCCTAGTAGTCCTTATTTATGGCTTTTGATACCTTAAAAGGTCCTCAAGTCCAATAATAGGGAGTACTTGGACGCGGAAGGAGTCGGTCTTATTGGGTGGTTGTTTTGTAGGGCTCCGTTGGGTTTCTACAGAGGTTCACCTGTAGCCGAAAAGACCTGCCTTTTTGGGGTTTCTTATTTTGGCTTCTATATGCAGTTCCTTAAAAATTGTAGGCCTTTTCGGCTACAGGCAAGGTTTAGGGTCAGGGTTTTGGAGCTTCCGGGTTCCGTAGGGGTGCTACCCGTAAGGGTCCCGAGTCCAGGGTTAGTTCAGGGTTTAGACCAATGCTTTGTTTTCGTGGTCTGACGTAGGCTCAGCGCTTAAATGGGAGTGTCCGAAAATTTTCCTTATTCTGGGGTCCTTATAATAAGGAACCTAACATTTAGGATACTATATTAGGGTCCCCTATCTGCGGAAAGTCGGGGTTTAGGGCCGTTTAGGGGCTTAGAACCTCAAGGCTTTGGAAGCCTCCTGCTTTCAAGTGCCCAAATGGAAGGATGAAATAAGAAGGTCTATGGGGCTGCGCCTTACTGAAGGCACGACGGTCCGCATCCAATCCAATCCAATCTATGGGGGTGGTTAGTGTGTTCATATCTCTCCGGAAGTAAACCTGTAAAATTGTAAACTTCTATACAACCCGATACCCAATCCTACAGAACAGAAACCTAAGCACTGCGTAAGACCAAAAGCCTAAGCCCGAAAATCCAAAAGCTTTGGAACCTTCAACCCACAATTCTTCACCAACTAATTAGCCCCAAAACCCGGCACCTCAAGCACCCGAAACCTTGAAGGAACCCTTAGATTTACAGCGGCCCTTAAAGGAGCCCTTGAAGAGTGTCTGCTTCCCAGGGGCTTTACGAAGTGCGCGAAGAGAGATCCGGTTGCCGCCATCATGGCGAATCGGCCGTGCTTGATTTCCTGAGCCGCAGAAAGGCAGAGCCGGGTTAAGGCTTTAGTCTCGGATTAGGGCTTTAGGGGTTTGGGGTTTAGGGTTTAGGGTTTACATAGGGGTTTAGGGTTCAGGGTTGAATTAGAGCTTAAGGCATGGTTCCCACAGTGACGAAACTCGGATCTTTACTGGCAAAGTCCTTTTCTTTGCGCTTCCGAACCAAACAGGTTCTCAGTCGCATGATGCATCTGGTTCTTCGAGTCAATGAGCATGACCCCATACACTGTGAAGGGAGCTCTGGCACTTCATAGTTTACCTTCTTTATGACTCGCACAAGAACTTCTGAGCGGGGTCCGCTGATCGAGGTGAGATCTGCCAAAGTCACCATCGCCACATTTGTCTTGTCGACGGCTAGAAATTCTGTGTTTCTATGACACTTGGTGGAACAAAGATTGTCTTTTATCGACCGTGTTTCTGTGACAATGCCTAAGGTATAGACCTTACACTTCAACTTCGGGGGAGCCGCTAGTAGGACTTGAGGAGTATACCCATAGATTAAGCGGCATTGGGCTCCGTGGCAAGCTTTCGTAGTACCATGCCCTGCAGAGCTCATTAGGCCTTGAACGGGTAAGGGAGGTTTCCTTAGACTACCAATGGTCGAGCATCATAGTATGCACCCTGAGGGTTTAGGGCTGCACACAGGTTTATTTTGAAAATGGAGTTTGACTAAGGGACAGTTTTACTGTTGAGAGGGGCTTTCTCTAATTTCACAGGAATCTTCTGCGAGGGGGCTGATCCTTCTATCAGACTTTTTACGGGTCCCGTGTTTTCAAAAATACGGAAACTCCCTTTTAGTCTCTGGGGACGATGCTTGAAGAGCCCTTGCATCCAAGAAAGCTCTTGTAGTACCAGTATCAAGGACTCCGAGGAACTCAGAAACAAAGAGGGCTCCCTTTTTGGTATTGTGTATCTTTACAAGGAACCTCAGACCACAAAAAGGGACAAGGGTTCGCGAGAAGCCCTGCGAAATGTAGGGAACTTGGCTATTAAACCCTAAAGCCCTAAACTTTTGAGGAGACCTTGACATCCCAAGCCCAAACCAACACATAAGACCTACGCCCCGGACCCGAATCTTACGATGTTGGTGTTTCAGAATTTAGCGTCTAGGGACCCACAACCCTAAAACCCAAAAAACTGAAGACAAACTCTGAACATCCGTGACCCCGTAAAAAACCACAATCCCCTGAACTCCGACCACATGCACATCCCCTAAACCTTAAACCCTAAACCCTAAACCGGGTCTTGGGGTCTTCCGAGTTGGGTGCTGGAGAGACACGGCCGCTCTGAGGTGCTTGAATCCGGTAGAGTCGCCGGGGAAGGTCATGAGACCTCCGGCTGATGACATAAATCCTGGGGTTCCTTTAAAGGGATCTATAAAGGTACCTTTAAGGGATCTATAGGGTCTTTAGGGTTTAGGGTTTAGGATGATATAAATCCTGCGTTACCCATAATGAGGAATTTACTATACTTCTCATAGTCTAGGGCCCTTAAGGTAATGCAGGATTTATATCATCACCAGTCTGTCTCACTCCCCGACCCCTGGGAGGATCCAGAAACTCCTGTAGATGACTTGACAGGAACCCATACTGTAAAGGAAATCCAGATATTCCTTAACTAAGGGACTAGACCTAAGAGTAACCTAGGAATAAAAAGGGTGCCCTTTTTGGTTTAAAGGGGCTTATAAGGGGACCTGAACCCTAAAAAAGGGAATAAGGGCCTACTCCAGGTCCTAGTTAACTAAGGGATATGGGAGTCTTTGGGTATATGACTATGGATCTAGAAAGTAGATCCCCGAAATTGGGGCCCTGTACTACTGAGGGTGCTTTATAGGAACCCCCCCCCCCCCCCGTTAAGGGATCTACTTTCTGGATCCTCCCGGGGCACTGGGTCTACTACTTGGAGGTTCATGTGTAGTTAGAGGTAGGGTGCTTTTAAGGGTTCTATAGGGCTTGGGGTTTAAGGCATAGGGTTTAGGAGTTCAGGGTTTGGGGTTTTCATAAGTAGGGTTCGAAGTCCTGATATGGGTTATAACTGTAGTTATCCTACTTATAAGACCGCTTACAACTACCCCTGAACCTCCAAGTAGCACATTTCATCTTTGTTCTTGCGCGTGGCTTGTGTTTTCAAAAGAACCCTTAAGGCAACCCTAAACCCTAAACCCTAAAACCTAAACCCCAAACTCTAAACCCTAAGCCCTAAAACCTAAACCCAGAAGGAGCCCTTGAAGAAAGCCTGTAAAGGAACCCTACACCCGAACCCCCGCGAAGGAACCCTACGCCCAGAACCGTTTAGGGTTTAGGGTTTAGGGCTTAGGGCCCTAAACCCTTAAAGGGGGAACCCCGCAGAAGTTGCCGAAAACCTTCCGGTCCGGAAGCCTGAAACAACCGCACAAGGGCGAAGGCTTCCAACAAGGAGACGGTCGGAGGGCTTTAAAGATTCCTTACGGGTTTAGGGTCCAGGATTTAGGGTTTAGGATATAAGCTTAAGGGCTTCAAGCTCCTTACAGAACCCCGTTCGCCACTTAAAACTTGCCACTTAGGGCACGAACTCCTTCTAGAAGCCCTTTAAAAAGGCAAGAGGGCAGTCTGGGTTCGGAGAAAGGTCTAGGTATCTAAGGGTTCGGAGGGCTTTATGATGGTTTTACATGGCCCAAAACCTATCATAAGGGAGGGTCCGAACACCTCCTACTTACCACTCCGTCGGGTTTGGGATAGGCGGAGAACGAAACCTTACACCACAAATGACACAAGTAACCCTAACGCTAAACCCTAAACCCTACAAGCCCTAAACCCCTGCAAGCTCTACAATTTCACTACTATTTGCTTAAGAAACCCCCAAAAAATAAAAATAATAATCCCTATATTACCCCCATAAGGAATATATTTTTTATTTTTTGGGGGTTCTTAAGCAAATAGTAGTTCAGAAGCTCCTGAGTTGACCCAGTGAGTGTTCTTTGGGAACCACCGCCGGCGTTCGGGGGGCATCCCGGGAACTCCTAGCCGCCTCGGTCCCCTCTGCCATCTGCTGTTGCTCCGGTGCGCTTGAGTCGCTCTCCTTACCCACCTTTTCTTTCTTTGGCTTGCGACGGTTTAGGGTTTATAGGGTTTAGGGTTTAGGGTTTAGGGTGGGCTTAGCTCCTTGCTCAACTAACTTGCGACGCCGTCGCAAGTAGCTGTTGCTGTTGATTCTTTATGGCTGCAAGCTTGCGATCAATGTCAGACACCCGCATGGCCTCCTGGCCTACTGCGGGCCCCGATGTCCCAACTACCACATCATCCAAGCCGCGACTGATAGAAGCCCATTACAGGTGGGTAGTTCCTCTTCCATAGTACTCCCATAAGACCCCTTTACCTTATAGGAGTGGTATGGGAGGCTTATGGGAAACTACCCACCTAATAACTACCCACCTGTAAATGGCTTAGAACTGAGACTGTTGCCAACCTTTCCCATTTCCCGCGCGATCCCCCAGCTTACTCTCGGACCCTGCCACAGGTCCTCGTGTAGGTTTTTGGTATCCAAAACGGACGGACCCAAAGTCCTACATTAGAGTGTACTTCCTACACCCTGAACCCTTACACCCATAAAGCCCTTAACCTTAAACCCTACCTAAACCCTGAACAACCTACCTCTTTAGGGTTCCTTATTATGATTTCCTTACATAAGTCCTTAAAAATGTAGGTTATTCCGGGTAAAGGTAAACCCCAGACCCTAAGCCCTGTATTTCCCTAGGAGTTCGGAGCCCAGGAAAGAAGCCGCAGTGCGATAGGAGTCCAAGACGCCGCTCTTGGAGAAGCCCAGGGGATCGAAGAAGCCCAAAGGCATGGTCCTAAGGGTTACTTAAAGGATCATGGGACTTAGTAACTAGGGTTCCTTAAAGGGTTCTTTTAAGGGTTCATTAAAGGGATCTATAAAGGGTTCTATAGGAGGGGCTTTATGAGGTTACTTAAAGGATCATGGGACTTAGTAACGAAAGGATTCCTTAAAGGCTTTCTTAAAAGGGCTTTAGGGCCTGAGGGGGTAGGGTTTTAGGGTTTAGGGCTTTAGGGGTTTATAGGGTTGAGCGTGAATTGAGGGTTTGGGGGATTTAGGAGGGTAGGGTTTAGGGGCTTATAGGGTTTAGAGTTAATTAAGGGTTGAGGGGCTTAGGAGTTTAGGGTTTAGGGATTAGAGGGTTTATTTTTGTTTTTGAACCCTCGTGTCTTTTAGCCTTTCGCCTCTAGACTACCAGCTTTGGTTGAGGGACCGGGAAATCAGCTTAGAGAGCCATCAAAGGGGAATTCACCACCACACTACCACTCTGGACAACCCCATGTACCTGTTCTCTGAAGCAATCCCAGGATGTGCAGCGGTCACAGCAGAGGGCACCATACGAACCATAGCAATGACCAACACTATCATCAATGGGCTCGTACCGACACAAGACCTCACTAGACTGAGCCCCTGCCCACGCTTGCTGCACTGGTTCCGCAGCGGAGGCAACTCAACGCTACAGATCCAACCACACCAGGGAGGTATGTGAGAAGTCCGGCCTCTGCTCCTGACCAGCATTTCTCACGTCACACGTATTTACGGTGTGTACATGCTCCGGCTGTCTGACAGCAAAATGCAAAGGCTGCAAAGGTGCAGAAAAACACGACTACAAACCCACAGACCTGGGATTAGAGGGTTTAGGGGTTTAGGGTACGTGGGTTTTGGGATCTAGGGTGCTCAAATACCCCAGAGTATAGGTAGGGCTTTGTGTCTTTTTCGATTGGTTTTATGGTGTTGAGTTTCCTTGAAGGGATCAATGGGGGTTCCTCAAGAGGGGTCCGTCGGTTGAAGGTTTTGACAAACCAAAAGGGTCCATGAATAATACTATGTCTTGTTTTTTGGGGTTGAGGATACCTAAAAACCCTACGACTTGCCCTGTAGAGCTCGGTTTGAAAAACCCTATTATGCTGGTGATTCAAGAGATTAGAGTCTGTTTTACGGTCCTTGTTAAATATTAGCTGCTATACTAGTTTGGGTTCCAAAAAAGGGAACCTAATTTAGGGAACTACTCATGTGGGCACTTGCGCCTTAATGATCGAACCACTCCCGCAACTTAATATAGCGGCCTTAATAATTAGAACAGGGTTTGGGGATATATACTACAAGAATCATAAGAACCCCTTCAATGGTGTAGGCAAATATTCGGCCCCTCTGGTATGCATCCCCTTCCATGTTAATGTTCTGCCGGATGGCACGCCCGGCTGCTCGGAGGGAACGATGGGGACTTCCGGTGCATCCTGAGGCATCGGATTTCATGACTAGGGAGTTAGCTATTAGGGTTTAAGGACTATTTAGGGGGTTCCTTGCTATAAATATACTATCACATGCCTCGAAACCCTGTTCGAAGTATAAAGGTCCTTATATTGCAGTCTAGTGTGTCCCAACACGAATCGTCCTTGAAAGACTAACTCCGACAAATAAAGGCCCCAACACCCTAAATTAAGCCGCACATCCTTAACAGGTCCTAAGCCCAACCCCAAACCCCTAAAGCCCAAAGCCTAACCCCCCAAACCCGGCAGCAAACCCAATACTATCTGGACCCTACAGAACCTACCTTCTGCGGTTCCTTATTATGATTTCCTTATCAGGCTCCTTATATGATTTCCTTATATGAAACCTTGGTGGTGGGTAGGTTATTTCGCGTCCAGGTAGCCTGTACAAGCGTAAACGCTGAGCAGAGACAACAGTGGGGGGGGGGGGTCCCACAGCCCAAAGTGCTACATCTAAGCCCTGCCAGGAAACCCTTATAGAACCCATCTATATCCGTTGCTGACCGCTGAGATAACGGAGCCTTAAGCGCCCTGGAATAGATGCTCGATTCCTGTAGACCCTATACTAGGCCTTATACCCTCTGAAACCCTACAGATTCCGTGTCATTGGATCCCTTAAAACTCTGTTAAGAGGTTACTTTAAAGGTTCCTTGAAAGGGTTCCCTTAAGGGATCCTTTGATGGGATCCCTTTAAGGGTTCCTTTACAGGTTCCTGTAATGGAATCCGGAAACGGAACCCTACATAACCTTTAGTTCCTTTCCCGTGCTGGAGAGGGTCGAAGCGGAATCGGCCCTGGTCATCCTTGCTGAGCACGCCTCCGGGTCTTAGCTCGAAGGGTTCAGGGCTAAGGCTTGCAAAGGTTCCTGCACTCTGTAAAACCTTCCTCTATATTCCTTACTATGATTTGCTTATATAGTCAGGTATGGTCAGGCCTTTTTCCGGGTTCCTTACTATCATCTGCTTCTGAACGTCCTTCAAAACGCAGGCTATCCGGCGTCCAGGTTGGAGGTCTCCGAGGTTCTTCTCAACTCTCACGGCGATGTCTAAAGGATTTTGGTTGAGTTGTGAAAGAACCCTTAACCCTAAACCCTAAACCCTGAACCCTAAACCCTGAACCCTAAACCGTAAACCCTAAACCCAAACTTTCAAAACTCAAGGTTTTCGGTGCGGGGCTTTAGGACATAAGAGGTGCAGAGGTCGCCGAGACTTGAAGATTAGGGCTAGGGACTGTGACTACCTGTAGCCGAAAAGACCTACCGTTTTAAGGAACTACATATAGAAACTATATTAAGGAACCCTAAAAAGGTAGGTCCTTTCGGCTACAGGTAGGGTTTAGGGTTTTGATAATCTTTAAGTGGGTGTGCAGTTTTTAGATAAGGTCTCCCGCACAATGGCTCCATATTTAAATCCCAAGTCCTAATAGCTCTACTCCCCTTGGAAGGTAAGCAAAAAACTACTTTTTCGGAGACCCATATAAAAGAAGACCGGAACCAAAAAAGGAACAAAGTAACAAAGTCTCCAAGAGCCTTAAAGATAGGGTCTAGGAGTCTCAAACTACAGGTGCACTTGAGCCCGATATCACCCGAAGCTGTAGCAAGTCGGGTGGGCAGAAGACTCGGAAACCCAACAACCCCACAGGTCCACAGCAACAACAAATCCCCAGATACCGACAGCCCAAGAATTGCATGATCAAGAAGAATCTTGGTATGTCAGACCTTAAAGAAAAGGATTCTGATCAGGCATCTGCATTGAGCCTGAAAGATACAGTTGATGGACAAAATCCTGCGTTGCCTTAAGGAGCCTAAACTATGGGAATTATGGCATATTCCTTATTATGGGTCATGCAGGATTTTGTCCATCAGCCGTATCACCAACCTTCAAGCTCTGGAGGAAACTTTAACACCACCACAGACAAAGCCGAAGCCCCAAATGAATAGCGTCGGGGCGGGAGCCGCAGTAAACCGTACTTGAAGGCTCATGGGACTTAGTAAGTAAGGTTCCTTAAAGGGCTCCTTAAAGGGATCTAAAAGGGATCTATAGGGTTTCTATAAGAGTTCTATAAGGAGGCTCCTGGGACTTAGTAAGTAAGGTTATAAGTAGGTTATAATTAGGACAACCCCACTTAGGGGACTTATAACCCCAGTTATAACCTACTTACGAAGTCCCATGATCCTCTAAGTAGTACCCGAAACCCTAAACCCTATACTTCCCTTTAAGGAACCCTATACTTCCCTTTAAGGAACCCTATAGATCCCTTTAAGGAGCCCCTTTAAGAACCCTCACTAAGTATCTGCCCTGCCTACAAAAGGAAGGGCCTTTAGAGCAAGTCAGAGCCGCTAATTTCCAAAGAGCACCCCGGCTTATAGGATCCTTAAGGGGGGGTGGTTCAAGGGGGGAGGGTACTACTTACGGTTTAGGGTTTAGGGTTTAGGGTTTAGGGTTTAGGGAGCTTTGGGGAACCTTAGGGAAGCTTAGGGAGTATTGGGGAATAATGGGGATTACTAGGTTACCTACCCCCCTTGGACCACCCCCCCTTAAGGACATCCTAACCGGCCCCAAACCCGACCCTTCATGGGGACCCCTGCCCCTTTAAAGGGATCCATAGGGTTTAGGGTTTATAGGGGTTTGGGGTTTAGGATTTAGGGGAAAAGGGGGTCCTACGGGTCCTTATTATTGTCCTAAACCCCAAGCCCTAAACCCGAAGACCTTAAACCCTAAACCCCTAAACCGTAACTTTAAACCCTAAGACCCTAAACCGCACCCTCTTGAACTCTGAAGTCCTTACCGGACAACCTTTCGAAGCACTATCAGGCCTCAGGAATACACCGCTGAACGACTCTACGAAACTCCGAGAAAACCCCACCAACAAATCAGACATAAACTGTTACCAGAACCTATAAACCCTAACACCCCCCCCTCAAGCCTCTCAACAACAGAAAACCTACAAAGGGACACGAACATAGGGACATTTATAATTGGAATAAGGTTTGGCCGTGTTTTATACCACAGTTATATTCCAAAGCCCTTTTCTATTTATTAAGGCCCTTGCACAAATGACAAAGAACACCCGCAATGCTTCGATGCTCCGGTCGTCCCTGGCCTGCTCGCGCCACCTTTTGCTGACCTCAGGAAATCCCAGGGATGAGGGGGGGCGGGGTCGTAAGAAGTTCAAGAAAGGCTTTAGGGTTTAGGGATTTTAAGGCTTAGTAGGTTGCATGGATTTAAGCCTTAGGGGCTAGGGATTTTCGGGTTCAGGGTTTAGGGGCTTGGGGGATATCACCATGGAGGAACTATGAAGGACCTCAACCCGGATAGCCTACCTTTTCAGGGATGTATGTAGAGAAATCATAGTAGTGAACCCTTACAAGGTAGGTTTTATCTTAAAAGTAGGTCTAATAACGTAGGGTAGCACTGGAGGGACCATGAGGGGACAATACTAGACATAAATTCAGACCCCTTCAGTACTCAACAACCAACAGAACGATCTCTAGTTCTTATATAAGGATTATAGTAGAAGGCAGAAAGTTGGAACATAGCTTTAGGAGGATTGGTGCTGGGATCCCTTATACTTTACATTCACGGCATGAGGATAATGATGTTCCAACTTTCTGGCTGCTACTATACAACCTACCGAGTGCTATAAAATCGCTGAGCCTGCACGAGGTGGTGTTTGTTTGGGATTATTCGAGGCATTCAATAAGACTCACAAAGAGTTTCCGGCGTCCTGCTGCCAAGATTGTTATCATGTTTTCTGGGATTCAATAAGATTCGGTCAGCTGTGCTAAAGCTCGGAAAAAATGTCTCCGGTTCATCCTACGATTGCCTTCATGCTTTCAAACTCATCAGATTCAACAGGATTTGGAGGGCGGTGCACAGCATGATTGCATCCAAGATTTCACAAGGTTCGGTCTCAGAAAAAGGTTCAAATATGGTCTGATAGTATTCAACAAAATGTCACCGGGCCGGGTCACTGCTAGCCGAACCCCTTGAGGTGTGAATCTCTCAGGTTAAAAGCCTTGCGGTTCTGGGGCGGCTCAGATCTTGTTGGCGCTTGCGGTGTAGCGTATGGAGTTTTGGGCTGTGAGGCGGGGTGAAGCCGCTCAGGATTAGGACCTGCCGGTTGGGGCTGGGACCAAGAGCACGAAGTCGCCTGCGAGCAACAGGAAAAAGTTGATCAAGACAACAAAGCTAAACTATAGAGCCAGAAAGCAAATGGAGACAATGAGCAACAACATCTGACAAATGAAGACAAATGGAGACAAACAAGGGCAAATAATCATTGAATGTGGTTTGATGCCTTTGCTCGAAAAGAGACCTACAACATGCTTATGCCTGTGTCCATTCTGGGGGCCCCGAATAACCCCAAACCCTAAACCCTGAAACCTAAACCCCGAACAATAAACCTGCCACTCAGCCCAGGGGCGGCCACGGGCCGCTGCGGCACCCAGGGCCAAGACGCCAGCAGCAGCCACGGTGGTGCCGGTGACCTCAGCAATTTTGCAAATTTGGGGCTTAGGGTTTGAGGTTCAGGACTTAGAGTTTACAGAAAGGCTTTAATTTAAAGGATTGGGGTTTACAGGGTTTAGTGTATTGCATGGTTTTGGGTTTGGGGTTAAGGTTCAAGGTCTTGGGATGGGGGGATTCATGAAGGGCTTGGGTTGGACCATGCCGCTGTGCGTCTAGGTCTTAGAACCGCGAACAACAGCAATTGCTCACCTCAACGGCAGTATGTATATTCGTAACACTCCTTGTGCGAGGGATCCCTAGGCATTATTTTGACAGGACTGACAAATACGCCTGCATAATGGGACTACGGGACTAGGGCTTTGCAGGAGAATCCTTACCGCGGGGACCCCTACATTCTGAACAAAATTCTAATTCTAAACAACAAAACGCAAAGACTCACCATTCTCAGTTCCTCAGCAAGAACCCGAGCCCTAAACCCTACACCCTCCCTTATTTCCATCATGATGAAGATTCTGCTATCTTACTATATGCTGAATAAACCCATATTGGTACTGTCATGACTATTCTAAGTTTTCGTCCTGCTTTCATTACTATTACAAGTGAACTTCCGGGTTTCTCCGGGGCACTCCTGTAGATGCGCCCTGCACGGCTGCACGACCCTGGCCACGGAGGGAGGCAGAGACCTCCGACAAAGCGAAGGGGATCCTAAATCCTAAATCCTAGGGGTTAAGGTGAGGGATGCAGGGTTCCAAAAATTTTCTTCAGTTTTAGGGTTAAGGGTTGTAGGGTTTTGGATCTACTGTAAGGGATTCTATAACCGGAAGGGTTCCAGAAAGGCTGTTCAGGTTTAGGCTTGTATTTAGGGTTGTAGGGTTTAAGGTTTTTAACCATGCGTGTGTAAAGGTCACGCAGGGTTGAACAAACAGAGGCGTGATGATATGTTTAGTTTAATTAGACGACTTCTTGGAGGGATCAGGGATGAAGGCTTTGGGTGAAAAAGGGCTTTGGGAAATCATTCGTGACAGTTGAGGGGTGTATTTCGTTGGGAGGGGATGTTTGGTTTCATTCATGCCTTTTGCTGACATTGTTTTCTGGCTTTTAAGCATTTCGCAGTTAAACAGTGAAGAGCGTTTTAACTTGTGCTGTCACACATATGTGAAGTCAAGCAGAAGACCTTGGAATGGATTGCAGTGGAACCTTCGAAGGAATATGAGCACTACATATCATCATTCGTTCGTCAACACTTGCATCGGAGCAAGAAGGGGTGCCTCATGAGGTGATAATAGGGTTCATGGTTGGGCACTCTCGGCGGTTCGATCTGCCAGTACAAAGCCTCTACGCTCCCTCCCAATTCCTTTTCCAAACCCAAGACCGTGCTCCTAAAGCGGCCTATTATAATCCCTAAGGTTTACACCCGAAGCCCGGAAGCAGCCCGACATCTCTGCCCCGACTAAAACCTTAAAGCACAAAACTATCAATAACCGGAGTTCAGAACAGCATAGAATCCAGACACCTGGAAGAACCCCAGAACTCCGAACCCGAAGGGTCCAGATGCCCAAACACTGACGCTTTAGATGCCCGACGCACCACTAGTTATATTGTTTGAAACCCCCCCAAGCCCCTGAAACACCAAAACACCTTCTAAACCTAAAACCCCCCCAAACCGAAACCAACCTTCAGCCTCCAATACCGAACACTAAACCTCAAACTACCAAACCCTAAACCTTGCCAGAACCCTCCAAGGGCCCTTTAATAGATCCCATAATATGCTCCTTAATAGTGGGTATTTAGGGTATATGAGAGGGTAGTTGGGGGTCCAGGCAAACGCAAACCCCAGTTTTCTGAGGTCGTGGAAGCCAGGGCGCCGGGTTCTCCGTGGCCGCCGGGGCGGTGGTGAAGGCCTTCAGAGTCTGTCGCGAAATACTGCCCTCGGGCTCTAAGGACTCATATACATATATATATATATATATATATAAACAAATAAATAAATAAATAAATAAATATATATATATATATACATATATATATATATAAATAAATAAATGGCCCGAAGACCATACTATATAAGGCCTTTGGGCTATGTTGAGGCCCAGGGTTGGGTGTTGGGGGGTTATGGTTTAGGGGCTTGCTTTTTCTCACCTCCTCCTGCCCGTTCTGTCTAAGCGAAGAAAAAACGGCGAACGACTAGGCGAACACAACTAGGATGCCCAGTAACCTAGGAAGAAAAAGGGCTCCCTTTTTGGTATTGGGTTGCTTTATAAGAAACTTAGGACTACAAAAAGGAACAAGGGTCTTGGATATGATTCAAACTCTATCCCCTCATTAAGGGATACTGGAGGGCCTGGGCTAAAAGGATTGATGTTGTTGAGGACTTTAAGACTTTCCTTAAGGAAATCATGAGAAGGCTGATAAGGATCGATAAGGAGCCCGACTAAGGATGTTTCTTAGGGTTGGTATCCTGATCTGGAAGCCAGTCTCCGAAAACAAAGGCCTTCATAATCAGACTGCGGCTAAACTCTAGACTCTAAACCCTACATACCTAAAAGCCCCCAAAGCGAAACCCGGCTTGCCGGGGATCACACCGGGGCTACATAGAGGGCCGCCGCGGCGGCACCAGCAGCAAGAGCCACACACCTCCCCCAGGTAGCTCACAAGGCTTAGGGCACAAGCTTTAGGGATTTTGTAGGTCCGGGCCCAGGATATGGGATTACGGGATGCTTAGGGCTTTAAGGACTGGGTTTCTGGTCGAGGACCCCAGACGGGTTTGCTGCAAAAATCTGAGCTCTAACCGCTGAACTCTCAACCTTGAGCCGTCAACCTCCCAGCGAATAACATGAGGCCTAGGGTTTAGGTTGAACTCCTCACCCTAAACGCCCCCAAAAACCCTAAACCCTAAACCCAAAAACACGCACACCTGGACATGATGGAGGTCGGGAGCGAGCTGTCGAGATCTGAGCGGCTGGCGACGCTTTAAACCGATCTGAGCCCGTCTGCGCGATCCGTTCATACAGATGGGTTTGGGGTTAATTAAGCGTGGGCTCGTATGTAGGGTTCAGGGTTCGATAGTTAGGATTTGATAGAACTGTATCTTTTTTGCGGGACTTCTTTTGGCAATGTTCTGGGGTCCAATTGAATGTGCAATAGCACTTGTGGGGGTTCATGGCTAGTTACATGTGGGCCTATAAGTCCCCTGTTTATGGGCTCCATCTATAGTTATTCTACATGTAACCCCACTTATAACTGCTAATGAACCTCCAAGCAAGTAGTAGAACATGCAGACTGCATCACGGTGTCGCTTGCACAGAAGCCATTACTTACCCTGGCTGCAGAGTGCGGTAGACCAGTTCTCTTCTGGAACTATCCGAAGAATCAAAGGGGAGAAGGAGGGACCCTTAATGGGGACCCCTACCCTATGATGGGCTATGTAATGGGTATATATAGGCTATATATTAAGGGTATATACCTCGGGGTCCTTATTAAGGGTCCCTCCTTTTTACCCTTGGAGAGCAGCAAGCCAGCAAGCCACGAATCCTCCGAATCCTTCCGCCTTCAAACTACCTACATAAACCTGCCCTAACCCCGCAACCCCCTTAACCTTCTAGTCCTATGGTTGGGAATTTAGGTGTCCCAGGACCCCCCAATGGCCCTTTAATGGAGCCCTTATGGTCCTTAGTAGTGGGTATTTGGGGTATAATAGAATGCACTGGGGGGGGGGTCTGGGTATATTTAGGGTTCAGGGTTTTATAATGCCTACTGAAGAAGCCCTTCAGCACTGGAAAGTGAGGCTTACCGGCTCAACCCCGTGCTGAATCATGTCGTGATGAGCATCCCCTTTTTCTCCGCAGTCAATGTCTGCAGGGACTCCTGCGATCATCAAAGGACCGGTACGGCCCTACCACGTGCTCGGCGAGGAAAAGGCAAAGCCTGAGATTGGAGTGCTTCGGGTTCACAGCCCTACCTTAACCCCGGAAGAGCCTAGAAGCAAATCACATGAGGGAACCCTAAAACGGAAGGTTCTTCAGGGTCTAGGTAAGTCCTAAACCAAAATTGAGGTCTGGGGCCTTTTGTTTTTTTTCAGACTTCAGGCCCTCCTTGCAAGGCGGGATATGATATGTTACATACCGAAGCCTAGCTCTAAAGGCTTGCATGCTCTTCTCAGCAGCTTGGGATTTGGGGCTTAATCCAGGGGCCTTAATAATTAGAATAGGGCTTGGGGGCCCAGTATACTATAGTTATAATATGTTATAATAAAGAACCCCCCAAAATAGTATAGGTAATGCCCCTAGACTAATGGATTTACGGTCCAGGTGGAGCTAGTGACAGTTGAGGATTCAGGGGATGCAGGTTACAGGGTGTGGAGTCTGCCTCTTAGGGCTTTGCGTGGGAGGGTGCCGGGTCTGCAGGGCTGTGATGGGGCAGACATCCGACTGGGTGTGAGCCACCAAAAACCATGTTTAGGGTTTCGGGGTGTAGGGCTTAGGGGTGAGGGTTAGGGGTTGGGGGTTTAGGGTTTGGGGGTTTAGGGTTTAGGGGTTTTGGGGGTTAGGGTTTGGGGTTTAGGGTTTAGGGTTCAAGCATGATCTGTTTCAACTCTGCAGCCTACGGGCCTCAATACGGAAAACCTGCATACCCTAAGGGTCCATGTAGTCATATAGTTAAGGGATCCTTTAAGGGTACCATAAGGGATCCTTTAAGGGTACCATAAGGGATCCTTTAAGGGATCTATAAGGGTTCGATGGGGGTTTAGGGTATAAGGCTCCATGTACTCATATAGTATACACATTGGCCTTAATGTAGTCACTATATAGGTACTTTGGGGCCCATGTATCTCTTTATGGGTACATGGACCCTTAGGGATAAGCAAACCCAGCACTCGCCGACTTTGGCCGCCCTGACCTCCCAAACCTTTGGAGTGGCAGAAAACCAGGGGCCGTGGTTAAAACAAGCAACAACCCTCGAAAATTGGGATACCCGAAACCCTAACCCTAAACCCTAAAGCCCTAAACCCCAAACCCAAAAACCCTAAACCCTGAACCCTGAACCCTAACCCTAAAACCCTAAACCCTAAAAACCCTAAACCCTAAACCCTAAAACCCTAACCCCTAAACCCGATAAGGAGGGGCAGGCGGCTCCGGTGGCACACCGGGACGGCACTTCGGCTTGAGATCCTCACGGCGAGACACGATGAACTCCTCGGAGCCTGACGTGGGGTTGGGACCCTTAGTTCGCATTTGGTTAGACCTTAGAAGCTGCCCCCACCCTGTAATAGTGACCATAAGGGCTATATTAATATTATATTAGGGCCCTATTATATTCCTATTATACCACTATTACAGGGTGGGGGCAGCTTCTAAGTTAGACCGTAACAATGATTTGAAATACCCCGAGACAAACAAGCTCTTTACTGCCGGTGTGTGGGGCGCGCAACAAACAAAAGGGGCGAGGGGCTTCCTTCCAGGCTTGTCGCGAAAAGCCATGCCAGCTATGGCAAACTAATGAGAATCAACAATAGCTATATTTGGTAGGTCTGATAGGTATAGGAAAACACTATCATTATAATACCAGCAGTTTTCAGGGTCCAAGGATACCAGAAAAAACGACATCGGAAGCTTGGGGCCTATGACGGGTGGGGGTTGTTTTTCACACCTAGACTCGGGCCGTGGGCATACGCTGTGTGAGCTGTACATAGGGACCATAAGGGGATGCTAGCAACACGACATACAAAACCCTTGTAGAACACTTCTATAACCCTACCAAGACCCTGAAAAGTAAAAACCTCGTTTGGGTGCCTTGGTTTTTTATTACAGGATCCTAACCACAAAGTGTGTCATCCAATAACTGGTGCTACATTCAAGGGTCTAGGTACAAAGCAAGAACCCTGAAGAGCCCGGCTCTCGTAGAGACCCTATCGAGCCCCACAAGCTTTAGACGCCCTACATACAAAGCGTTAAAGATGACTGACAGAATGATAATATACAAGAGCAATACAAGATCCCTAAAGAGCCCGGTATCGTAGAGGCCTTATCGAACCCTTGCAGGAACACTTGACGCCTCGCCGTACTCGAGCCACCCAGGCCCCTGGATCCTTCGAAGCTTTTGGTGAGGGCTTTGGTTCCTTCTGAAGGCTTCGCCTTTAAGGCTTAGGGGCTTAAGATTTCGGGGTTTAGGGTTTAGGGCTTAGGGGTTCAGGATTTCGGAGTTTAGGGTTTAGGGCTTTGTTGAGTAGGCTTTGGGGCGATTCGGGGGCTTTATCAGGGTTGCTTTCAAGGGCTCCCTCAAGAACTTTTAAGGGCTCTGCATACGACCAAGCGTCCAACTACCTAATTACATGGTAGGGATTAGGTGCCGGCACTATGTGCTAGATGCTTTTGGGCACCTCAACACCCTCTAGTTAGGCAATTTGGTCTTTTAAATTTGTTGTTGGTGTGTACACCTTTGGCTTGCGCTGCTGGATAGAACAAAGCACTGAACACTACAAACACCTATTGACGGGTCCAGTAACCATATAGAGATACATGGACCCCAAAGTACCTATAAATTATAAAGGGACTACATTATGGCCAGTGTATATACTATATGAGTACATGGACCCTTAGGGATCGACAAAAAGGCCCAGTAACCATGATCCTCCAACGCAGGCCCAGCTGTACGTCCCCGAGCACCAGGCATTAGAGGCAATGGGCCCCACATGCCAGACTAGTTCTTGAAGGATCATGGGACTTAGTAACTAGGGTTATTACTAGGGCAACTATACTTATAACCCCAATTAAGGTACTTATAACCTTAACCTACTTACTAAGTCCCATGATCCTCCAAGTAGGTGGCCGCACAAACACGACAAGGGCTTTGGGGCTGCAACAGTAGAATAAACGGGGAACATAACACGGAGGTTACTAGCAAGCATTCTGACCCTTTCATTAGATATAAGGTCTTCAGGATTACTCTGGAATCCCAGGGGGCCACAAAAAAAACACTAAAACAGAGCACAAAACCTCGAAGCCTTAAAAGTGTGAAGAGAAAGCAAAACCCTGACACTCTCTCAATCCCGAAGCCCGCGGCCCTGCTCTCAAGCCGAAATCCTAATATAGGGCCTTAATAATACAGTAGAAGCCGGAAAGTTGGAATATCGTTATCATAATCCCTTTAAGGTAAATTATAGGGGATCCTGCCATTATTCCATATTCCAACTTTCTGGAGTTCCCTTTAATTCTGTTGATGGACAGAATCCTGCATGACCCTGAGGACTCTAAACTATGGGAACTATGGTATATTCCTTATTATGGGTCATGCAGGATTTTGTCCATCAACAGTTAGAATAGGGTTTTGGGGTCCATTATACTATAATGACAATAAGGAGCCCCACAATAGTATTGGTAATAGGGTTTTGGGGTCCACTGTACTATAACGATAACAAGGAACCCCGCAATAGTATCGGCAATCATTTAGATCCTGATCTTGCCTGCGTCTTCAACCGCTGGTAAAGTCCAGCAGCGGGAGCGCTAAAGGCCTGGATTTTTATCCCGCAAACCCCAAAGCCCTGACCTGAACCATAACGCCTAAACCACTAAATCTTTAACCTTATAAAGCCTAACTTCCCCCTAAATCCTAGACCCCGCAACCCGAAACCCCATATCCACATATATATATATATATCTTGTATGTGTATACATATATATACATATATACATATATACTCACACAAACATATAAAGTTAAACGAGAACCCCTCAGCCCTAAGATCCGAAAACTCTAAGAACCAATGCTCGAAGGCCCAGGTTCTCCGTAAGCTCGGCCTGGACCAGAAATAACCTACCTTTTCAAATTAGGGGTACCTTAGGGGTCCCTTTTTGGGCACCTTAAATATTAGGTGCCGTATTATAATAGGGACTCAAAAAAGGAACCACAATTTTGACAACTACCCACCTTTTCTAAGGACCCCATCTGGGAGTTTCCGAAAATTGGGGGCACCTTAAAGCGGATGCATAAGGGTTCCTGTAAGGGCTTCTATGAGGGATCTATAGGGTTTAGGGTTTATAAGAGTTTCCGAAGATTGGGCGGTACCTTATCTGGAGGTCCCTATAATAAGGATCCGTCCCACTACTTAGGGTGCTATATTCGGGTCCCCTATATTCGGAAACTCCCGTACATCATACAAGGAAGTCATAATGAGGAACCCTCAAAAGGTAGGTTCCTTCGCGCCCAAGAGAACCACATAACCACACATGGGAGGTTCCGAATTTCTGATTAAACTCCGTCTTTACGGCCCGAAAGCTCTACTTCCCCTCGAAGGTGGGCAATCCAAGGTGTGGCTATGAAAAAACATACCGAAACGACAACACAAGCAACAAACCAACAAGTTAATCAAGATCCGTACTACTGTATATAAGGGCCTGGATAGTTAGAATAGGGTTTTGGGGCCCATTGTACTATAAGTCAAGTATAATATATAAGGAGCCCCCAAAGTAGTATTGGTAAGTATTTTGGCCCCTACATTATAGAAAGGACCTTCGCCAAAGGCCCCCAAAGCCCACGAGTAGGGCCCAAAGAAAGCACGTAAGCAAAAATAAGGATAGTGATATCCCATATAAACCCCCTTATAATGAAGCCCAATATGGTAGGGATATCCCCATAAAATGCTTATGCTTATGTGCTTTTTGGGTCCCTTTATGAAACCTCAAGGCTCTTGGGACAGCACCCAGCGCTAGAGTTCACATTGAACCCTAAACCATACCGAAGCTTAGGAAACCTACCCTTGCAGGACTTATACCGTATACGGAAAACGAGATATGGAACGCTAAGAAAAGTAGGTTCCTGTACAATTGGTCTTAATCCAAACCCAAGCCCTGAACTAAAAACAAGGCCCGATAGCCTTGATGGGATGACCTTTGGTCCCACAAGAGAAAAGTTTAGTTTAAGGGTTTGGGGAGTTGTGAGAATTTTGAGCACATGGATCTTGTTGAGGCTTCGGGTCTTAGCATTGCAACTGGCTTGTGCAGTCCTGAAGAAACGCCGTTTGTTGCCAACAGCTCGGGTTCTTAGCCCTTAACCCGAACAAAGCCCCAAGCCCTCAACTTCGTTAAACGGCATATTGTCAAAAATATGGTCCCTTTTTGGGTCCCTATGATAATACGGCACCTATTGTTTAGGGTGCGAAGAAAGGGAACCTAATTTTGACAACCACCCATATGGTACTCAAAAGCTGTTGCAACCCAGGGTTCTAACAACCCACAAAAGCCGCCCCCACCGATGATCTAACTGAACTTACAGCAGCGCCACTGTGAAGTTGGCTGCCGGCGGATAGCGCCAGCTCGGTGGGCAAATCCAAAGAGCCTGGCGAAGTTTCGGGTCTAGTGATAGCGAAAAGCTCAACATAGACTAAAGCCTTGAATCTTTGGTGTAATCTAAACTAGAAAAATATGCCGAAAATCCTAGCTAACCCTATAAACACACCTCACAAAAGCCTCGACGTGTAAGACCTTAACATCCACTTGAGGTTTACGGTTCAGGGTATTGGCATGGTCACGCAGCTTTGGGCCTTTAATTGGCTTACTACCAGCAGAATTCTGAAGGACTTTGTCGCGGCTGATCTGCTTGCTGTACTTACCTTTGGTTAGTAGGGAACGGAGGAATCGGGTGCGATTGTAACTACTATTACTACCATTCTTCCATTCCCTACTAACCAAAGGTAAACCCTAAACCCCTAAACCCTAAACCCTATAGATCCCTCAAAGGATCCCTTGAAAGGAACCCATTACTACCGTTCTTCCATTCCCTACTAACCAACGGTAGGTAGAAGGGCTTCCCGGGTTGCATTGGGCTGCATCGGCCTGTCTAGGCCTCTGTAGGAATACGTGATTCGGGCTTCTCGGGCCCCCCCTGTATATACTTACGCAGTATAGTTTTCATATACTCGTACATGTATGTATGCATGCGTGTATGCATGTATGATGTATGATGTATGCATGCAATATACATACATACATATATATATATATATATACATATATATATATATATAGATACTGAGACTGGTACTGAAATGGATATAGATACATGTAAACCCAAGCGAAAGCCAACACAGACTAAACATACCTGCCGAAAACACAAATGAAGCATGTCGAAGTTTACAGCTTCAGAATTCCCCAAGCGAGCGTAGGGTGACTGGCAAGAGCCCGGCGGCTGCAAAGAACGCTGAGGTTCGGTGCCTGAGCAAAGGTTACACACTGAAGCACACAAGCCATTCTTAGGCTTCACTTTTACCGCAATAGGCTACCTTTCTGAAGACTTGTATAAAGAAAACATATCAAGAAGCCCTAAAAGTTTTGGTTTTCTGAGGAAAGCTGGGGTTTAGAGCTTCTGGGTTTAGAGGTTTGATGCTCGTAGGACTGTGAATGTTGGGGTGTATCTGTATAGGGACCCCTTCGACTCTCGCATTCGCTTAAGGTCTACCCTAAAACCGGACGAGCCTCGGCTTGATGCCACTTCTCCAATCTCTACGGAGATAGTCGATTGAAAGGACATCGAGAATCAGAAGATATGGAAATGTTCACTCGAAGAGCCTGAGAGGAACCCGACACGTTAAACTCCATACAGTCCATACCCTAGCCCTCGGAAACCTTCGCGGCCTGCAGTTAAAGCCTTATCCTCGTATCTTTCTGCAAGGTCTTTCCTTGCTGCCTTGGTGCGTGTAGAGCTGGGATAGGTCGACCTCACCATGCGTGGTTTTTTTTGCAATTTGGGAGGCTCCGAAAATTGGTGGTACCTTATCTGGGGGTCCTTAATTATAATAAGGATCCTACTATTTGAGGTACTATATTAGGGTCCCCGATATTCGTGAAACTCCCATTTAGTAGTCAGAGATCTGGGTTCAGCGAGTACAACGGTTAGCATACGTTGTCCTTGTATAGTTGTTCTTCTGGGGGCATCGTTGCATCAGGTCTGCTATCCTCTACCCAAGACCCCAAACCCTGAACCTCAAACACTATTCCGATTTGTCCCCTGTAAACCTGAACCCTAAACCCCTAAACCCCAAAACCTAAGCCCTACCTTAACCCTGAAAGACCTACCATGTTGAGGACTTGTATAAGGAAATCATATAAGGAACCCTAAAAAGGCAGGTTATTCAGGGTTAAGGTAAACCCTAGTCCTGACACAACGCCTGCGCCAGGAGCTCCTCGTTTCTGAATTTCTTTCTGCGACGGTAATTTGGCTATACTCAGGGGCTGGGTACCCTAGCCCAAAAAAGTTAACCTTTTCAAGTATGCTAGGGTTACCTAATACCCAAAAAGGTTCGAGGTTACCTACTCACCTACTGAGTATAAGGGGCCTATAAGGATACTGTCCATTTAATTGCTAACTACTGTTACCCCTTAACCGGACTGTTCTTCGGAGGTGCATTTGGAATCAAACTGATTGCCACTTCTTCCCAAAACCGAACATTACATAACTTCCTATGGAGACCTTGAAATATCCAGAACTGTAAGCTGCATACCCTGAATCTTACTGCACTGGGTCTGACGAAGGCATGTAGTATACAGTTGTTCCTGACTCATTAATGTTGCAACCTAAACCGCTTAAAGTAGGTCTAGAAACCAATATTTACTTGGCTGACTTCTGAACCCCTCCTAAAAGTTATTAAACTTTAGCCTCCTCATTCGGGTTCCTACAGAAACCCAAAAAGTTAAAGTCCTAAGAGCCAACCTGAAGAACGCCAAGTTTAGTTGTCCCTGCCTGGTAGTTCCACAAGGCCGTGGAATTTGTCTCCTAAAAAAATGCTGGAAGCCCTTTGAGGCAGTCGGGCTCTCAGAAGGGCTAGGGATTCAGGATTCAGGCGTTTAATAATATTGGGACCTTGATAATTAAAATGGGGCTTTGATGCCCCTTATACTATAATGTATTCAGGAACTCCCCAAAAACATGGTGTAGGTAACTGTTTCTCGGCACCTATATGAAGGGCTTAGCGCGTGGTCTCGTCTGGCGTCTTCTGGCGGGCCTGGACCCTAAGGGTCCATTGTTGAGCACCAGCAAACATAAGTAAGGACTGCTTGAACCCTTTACGCCAATAGGTAGATTGAGGTATTCGGCGATAGTATTCGGCGATAGTATAGAAATGCGTAGGAACTTAGAGGGATAGTATTATGCTAGTTATTCCGACCCCTCTGTTGTTTATACACATATATACACATGTATCATGAAAGCTGCGAGAACCACGGTACGGGAAACCATGCATTCCTCGACGCTCAATGCGAAACTGCATCACCCAACCGCGGGTCCTTAATGCAAACGACCTCTGCATGAAATTGAATCCTAAACCTTTAGCATCTTTTCGACATTTCCGGACAAAACCTGGTACATAAACGATCACTCATACTTTCAACTCTCGTATACGTGGGGCAGAACCCTAAACCCTAAACCCCAAGAGAGACCCTAAACCCCAACCGTGGCAGTCCAGGACTTGGACGACGTCGGCTTGGAAGCCAAATAGATCGAGACCGGTGCCTGTGGAAGCTTTCCACAGCGGTTTAGGGTTTAGGGCTTAGGGTTTGTAGGGTTCAGAGATAGTACTTAAACGGTTCCTTAAAGGGTTCCTTAAAGGATCTATGGGGGATTTAGGGGATAAGGATCATGGGACTTAGTAACTAGGGTTATAATTGGGGTAACTACTTATAACCCATATTAGAGGACTAATAACCGTACTTCTAACTACTCATGAACCTCCAAGTAGGGTTTAGGGTTTGTAGGGTTCAGGGTTTAGGGTTTAGGGGTTACAGGGATATAGGGTTTAGGGCTCCTATGAACTCAAACATCTGTAAACTTTCAGTTCTAAAACCGGCAATATTCTCACCAAAATGCAAAGCGTTCTTATCCAATTACTAAGCTATACTAACGCTTCCACAAACTTCTATGCAGATGAGGCCAAACACATTAGGCTATCTTGTGCATAGGGTCTTGTGTAAGTGTGCATATAGTCATGCATGTAGATATTTATACATACATATGTTAAGTAAATATAAATGCATAAACGAAGAAATGCATACATATATACATATATATATATACATAGGTATTATATGCATACCAACCTATACAAACACATCTGGATGAATTCACGTAGGCTTCCATGTGCAGGTAATTCCACAAACCCTTGGATCCGCAGCATGCAACTCACAATCCTGGTAGCGTTAAATCCTCAAGCCCGAAGTCCTAAACCAATCCTCAATCATATCCCCTCCGCATGGGATCGTGTCTCGGGTCGGTTGAGCTGAGCTCGTGCAGGGCCAGTTGGGCCCCTGTGCAGTCTATTCTTTTCTTAAAACAACCCTACACATCTTGCCCGAAACTGCCCCACCTGAACCCGTCAACCGGCAGGTGCCCACGCGTGCCTAGGAATTGATGGTTCGGCGCTCCGCCCTCAATGCGGAGATTTGAGAACCTTACCAGGATCCGCCGCGAGGATTGCTCAGGCGTCTTGCAGACTTTGCTGACTGAGTTCAATGATATGATTTTGTCCTTTGGAACTACCTCAAGCCCAATGCAGTAAGCCCTAAACCCATATTCTACATCATCTCCAAGATTTTATGCGAAAAGCCTGACTCTAGGCGATCTATGAAGAAACGAGTCCGAATCCATCGTCGCTCTTAGGTGTTGAACCCTGTAAGGACAAACAGCTAATACGTACGTGTAACCAAGCCGAGCCAATTCCCAAACCTCAAGACTCAGACCCCTGAAGCTCCGAACTGCTCGCCTCCACCCGCAAACCCTCAAGCGCACAGATCTATGTCTTTAAATAGCTCCAAACCCTGGGGAATCAATAACATGAAGACCTATATCCGGTACAGTTGAGGTTATAGCTGGGGTGTTCGGGGGCATATGCTGCATTCCATCGGACACAAGTCGATATTCTGTGTGTATATACGACCATAAAGGAAAGCCCTTAAAAACTTAAACTCTAAGCCCCTAAACACTCTCCGCTAAGAAAGACAGGCGGCATGGCGAACGCCGGGTATGTGCGAGTGCCTGTACACCGGCGCGTCAGCGTGGATATAACCCCAAGTCCTAACCCCTAAGGGTCCATGTACTCATATAGTATATACATTGGCCTTAATGCAGTCCCTATGTAGGTACTTTGGGGCCCATGTATCTCTATATGGGTACATGGACCCTTAGGGAACAGGTTTGGAAGGGCTTAGAGTTAGGATTTAGGCTGGATAAGGGTTCAGGGTTTAGTGCAGAAATCTGGCTTGCAGGCTTCAGCAAGCGGCATGCGACATCCGCAACGAACTAACGCCTTTTTCCTTCAACCAGGAGCCACGCTGCTGCACACAACGTGTAGGTTCACTAACTGACTTCGGCTGCACTTCAGCGGACATGCACTCGGATCTAACCAACTAAGCCAAATCGACACTGACCAAAATCTCTTTTGGATCTGAGCACTTCCGCTTGGCAGCTTCTTCTTTAAAAACCACGCCGCACCGGATTTGTTCCCTGACATCCTTTGATCTAGCACCCTTCGTCAAACCATCAGCCAGTTGATGCCTAGTGGGAACCCAAAGGAGTCTGGCTTTACCTGATGCGCCCCGCGTGGAAAGCATCTGACGGAGAAGCACTGCATGGATCACACTCGACTTGTCAGATATGTGCTGTCCATCCTTATGGACCGTGTCATAGATAGATTTACAATCGGTAACAACAGTCATAGGCATTAAATCGCACCAACCATCATCATCGACACTACTCACAATCTGAGACCCAAAACGAAGCTCACACATTAACACCTGACAGAAATGTCCCATGCCCCACGCCATCAGAGCAGCATGCGTCTCTCCCGCAAAACTGGACTCGATCACTCTCTTGTTCGTACTACTGCGCCAGTCTATGATGTTGATGTGATTAGGAACCCCTTTCACATCAGTCGAGCCCTGTTTCACGAATCCAACGAACGCTCCTTTCTGAGAGTACACCAACCGGCGATCTTTCTGCGACAACAAAATGTCATCACACTCTCTCTCGTCAATCTCGACACCGACGCTCGAATACAGACCAGCATCCGTGTACACGATCAGCTGAGCGTCCCTACCCAAGTTCTTGAAGACAAGTTGCATGCGATTGGCCTTGACATCCTTCACAGTCTTATTAGCACGCATCAAGTCAAACACTCTCAGGTCAGAGATACGTTTCTGCAGCTGATTTGTTTCGAAGGAACTGTCGGGCCTTGACTGGGTAGCCAACCACTGCAAGCTTCCAACAATGGATCTATAGTTGGCCTTCTCTTCATCAGTAGCGTAGCTTTCAGGATTCAAGCGCCTGTCCCTACTAACTTCCATTTCTTCAAGCCGGCCATCTATGAAACCATCCTGAGACAAGACGATCTGTTGCTCGCCCTTCCGCTCGACAACCTTGATTTCTTTACCGCAGTAAGTAACACCCTCAGGTTTATCAAGGACCCTATCCCAGGTGCCGAACGGGAAGCGCTTGCACAGCCTACTGACCACTTCCTTCGCACGATCCGACCCGTCATGGCAAACCATAAGATCATCAACATGAATGATCATGCACCCAATGAGTTTTCCTTCGGAATCTCTCAACATGAAAAGTGCAGGGTCAATATGTGATTTGGTAAAACCAAGTTCCTGGGTCAAGACCTTAGCGAGCTCTTCGTACCACGCCCTAGGCGCGTCTGGCCGTCCGTAGACGGGTTTGAGCAGGCGAAGCAACTGATTCGATTTCACGCCTGCCAGTCCCTGTTTGGGTGGACGCATGAACATAGGTTCCTTATCTTTGAGAGGGGCACCTTGGAGGAACGCGTTCGAAATGTCACCGACATGCCAATGTTGGAGCCACCCATACGAGATAGCCATATGAAGGAATATCATAGTGGAGACTCTCTCAACTGTAGGGCTGTCCACTTGGACAAGGCCTGTTCTCGAATCAGGGCAGAGGTGGCCCTGCAGGCAAAGTCTAGCCTTAGCCCGAACCGGCAAGGCGTTACCCTTGTCATCGACGAGGCCCGCATGTTTGTTACGATAGACAAACCTACTTGGCAATATACGTTTCGGACTCTCTTTCTCCACTCTTCTACTCTCTTCTTCACTCAAGACCTCACAGCTCTCATACTGTCGCCAACTAGCCCACTCCTTCTCTTCCGCCTCCTTGTACAAACCTCTCTGACTCTCGGGTATCTTCTCATAGGGGATTTCTTTCTCCATCATCTTATTCAGTTTATTCTTCCCCAAAACCTTCCCATGTTGAACGGTGTGGACCTGGGCATCAGCCTTCCTCCTCTTTATGGCCGCGGGAACATCCTCCAAACAAACCTCCTTCCTAGTCCTTTCTTGGAAACTAGTGATGAGAATCTCAAGTGGGGCATTGGGAAGATACTCGTGGGGGTTATCCAACTCCATCCATTTCACTTCCTTTTCAAGACAAATCCACTCGCCATCATGTCTAGCCCACGTAGTACGATACGGGAAACGATGAGGCTCATATCTCTCCTCGGGGGTACGATAGGCCCAAGACTGATAGCTCACCAAAGTCGGGTTGCCTTGTCCATCCACATGCCATCCAAGCTTACCCACCAAAGGAACAAGATCCCGAGGAAGTTGGGTAATGCCCTCCTCAACATCACCAACCTCCCTAGCCACTTCCTGGACCAACGGTTGCTGCTCCACCTCCATAGGCTCCTCAGTGGGGTCCTGCTGGCGCGTAAGATCCTCAAAAGTAGATTCTTTAGGGGCTTTACGAAACAGGGCAATGCTTTTCTGGATCTGGGGATCCCCGTAATGTCTCTCGTCTCCACAGGCCTCACGCAGATGCTCTCCCGCCACCAGAAAACACCTACCACCTATGGCGACCCAGGCGTTGTGACCCTGAATGCCCACAATATAACCCGGACCAACCCACCGACTGGGCTCTCTCTTTCTCTCAGCTCTCCAGAAGAACACAAGCTGACCAATGCGAGGATTCGTGATTTTACGCACACGATCATGAGCAGTTCGAGCAAGCATCTGACGGGCCTGAGCCTTGATATACTCCAGTTTGGCATGATACCTGTACCGCATCCTACGAGCGACTTCGCTATCAGCGTCTCGAACCCTCGGGTGATAAGCATGCGGCCCCCCTTGACTATGAAGTTCCCCATAGACTCTCGGTTCACGACCAAACACAAGAGCAACCGGCGACCAACCATGCTCTCTCACCAAAGTATTCTTAGCCCATCCAACCTCTCTCGCAACCAACTTCATATCCTCTCTGCCCTTCGCTCCAGTCTGTCTGATGACTGTCCTCAACATGTCTTTCACTGTTTGATTGTGACGTTCAACCTTTCCGGCCTGCCAATGAGCTGTCCCCGCAATGGACACAAGTGAGGTGCCTGCTTCCCCTACTTTAGTCCAAAACTCTTTACCACGAAAACCTCCCTCAAAATCAACAGTCACCCGCATAGGAGGTCCGGCCCACTTGGCCCATGCCCTGTCAAAAGCCTTGTTCAGTTCAAGGGGACTGTGATCGCGAAGAAGTTCAATCATGTGGTAGCTAGTGGCCCTATCAATGACAGACAAGAACCAATGTGCCTCAGCTTTGCTGTCGTGCAAACAGATACAGTCCAAATGAACTTCATCTCCAAACACGATGGCACATGGAGGAATGCTACTCGCCCTGTGAGCTTTAGGTTTCGAAGAATGAGCACGCGCAACACACTTCATCCACGTAACCGCCTCAATGACTTCTTGTTTAGCACCACCTAACCTAAGAAACCGCTGAAGATCTTCCTTACTAGGGTGGCCTAAGTTGCAATGTGCCTTCTTCAAACCATTCCGAATCTCAGGACTCAGTCTCCTCCCAGCCGGAATGTCGAAGCTGATCCCGTCGTGCGCCAGACCAGTTCTCATCGGAGCATCGGCATCGCCCATTGGAGCGTCTTCGATCAACTCATCTCCATCTGAGTCCTCCAGGGGTGGGTTCATGGGCTGATCTGTTACAGGGTCCCCTGCACTAGAGGATCCCACAGCAAACACGGCATGCCATCTCGACAACGCTTTGGCTATGTTTTTCTCGTTCCAACGAAGATCTTGGACGATTGGTCGGTTCTTGTTAGCACGTATGCGTGCGGCAACATTTCTCAACATACGTCTTATCCTACCGGGATCTCGACGCCTAAGAGTCTTCACATAACCTCTGCATATTGCCGCCGCAACCCTGCTTCGCGAATCATTCTGAGGTACCCCTCCCTGTTGGGAAGAGGGCCCCGAACATCGAAGAGCCAACTCCTCACAGATTTCCACGGACGTGCTGAGCCAAAGGGTGGACTTCGTATTAGACACCCGATCACTGGCCCTCCTAGTTTCTTTGCAAGTTTCGCTGACTGCTGAATAGACCTCAGGATGATTCAACACTCTCTGAATCGGAGCCGACTTGAACGAAGCGCTCGCCACAGGGCTCTCAGCAAGAGCGTCATCCCCACGCTTGATCTGTCGCTCAAACACTTGTTCCGTGAATTGAAGAAACCACTGGTGCCTATCATGGATCTTCCGATTCCTACGGATCTCTTGCGAAGTTTTCGGTAAAGGCGCCCCAAGAGACGACCACAAGGCGTGAGGATAACTCAAAACGACCAAACGTGGCTGACAGCGATCGATCCATTCAAGGAGTTTCACACTACCACTGGCATCATATCCGTCACCACCAAGTCTCAGGTCCAACGGACGAACAGCACTCCATCCCCATCGGCTAAACTTATGTGTGACTTGCGCTTCTCCATCACACACTTCCAGAACATCCGGTCGTATCATCGCCGACCTGGGAACAGACTGCATAGCCATACCGATGGCTGCTGTTGATGCAATCATCACGCTAGCAGCAAGCGCCTTCGCGTTTCCGAGGAGTCGTTTGAAAGTGCCTCGCTTCGCCAACTTACGACGCTCGTTGCCCTCTAAAATCCTATTCCGCACTTCCTGTGGATTCCTCGGGAGCCGCAAAGGTTCACAACTCTCATTACAAATCTCATCGGCTTGACTCCTGTT